GGGGGGGGCACAAAACAACAATATCATATGAAAGGAAAGAGGAAAGAAGTAGGATCTACCACAGGCACCCTCCACCCACCCACATCAGACAGGCAATCTCTCTCTGTGGTGCCAAGTCTGAAACAGATATTGATGATCTGGTGATCAAGGCTCACGACTCTCTCCCTTCAGTATACACAGGAACAATGTGGACCAATAACATAAAGGTCACTTTAAGTATAAAGGTGTGAATGACGGCAGCTAGCAACGGTAAGCAATGACGATTCATTACATGTTAAGCTCTGAGCCAGAGAGGACACCTCAAGGAATCCTGGTACACTTGGTCCTACTCAATAACGTTGCAGTATCCTGACAATGTCCAGTCGCCCATAATATACAGTTTAAAATTATGCTCTTCTTGGCCAGCTCACTCTTACTCTTTATCAGTTAATCTTTTTGGTTAAGGCAAGATACCCGATACCTTTTGACTGAGTACTTTGTATCCAAAAGAAATTTGCATAAATTTTTTTTATATCATTGCTTTACAAGCTTTTGTTGTAGATTGGCTACGCTAAAAAAGAACTCATTTGTTTTCTTCATTTTTCAATGGAGCGCCAAGCATTTTTCAGATAAACAAACCACATTTCCACTGAACTCAATTTGCTTAATAGAGGAGACACTATATAGACAACCAGCATCATTTATTTCCTCAAATTAAAACATCATGAAGAAGTAAAAGACCTGTGCTTCTGCACTGCAACAAAAAAGATCTAGGTCCTCTTTACAATAATCCATTAACTCCAACCATCTTAACCATCTCGTTAAATAAGTATACATTATGATCTTTAACACCTGTATTATCAGAATACTATTAGCGTACTGAATATGTACCTAGTTTATACATTATTACGGTATTATATCTGTGAAGAAGATTAATCTTTGTTATCGTATTTGGTGAAATAAATACACATACCTAGTGGAGCTGACCCTGAAATTTTTACACTCATTGCAGTCCTCGGGCCTGGTCCCTGTACAGCCCCCGGCACACTCTTTGTGGCAGGCCTGGACACAAAAAAAGAAGAAAAAAAACCCACATAAGAAAGAATCAACATGGCTATCTGCATAGGTAAATGTTTCACACCCTCGTCAACACACTGCAAGGCTGCCCATCCACCGGCATATGGTTTAGTAAGCAGTAAATAGAAAATTAGTAATCTGGCTATAAAATTCATAATACGGTCAAAGATCGTCTTCTTCCCTGGGCTGTCAAGGACAGGGGTTGTAGTCAAGCAAGTATAAAAGTAACACAACGGCATGGTAAAAAAAGTGGTCTTGACGGGCTCGTCACTGGTCGCGTTAAGAAAAGAGGGCAGAAGGTCACTGTATTCGACTTCAAACAATTATCCACTTTTTAAAAAATCTCTCACTGGCCTTCGCTGTCACATTCAGAAAAAAAAAGGCAGGAATTTGCTAACACCTTGTCAACCAAATGTTTACCTTACCTGGATTCAGCACTTCTAAAGTCTAATGTTTTTCTAATGTGGTACTGAGTGACTACAAGTGCTCACGGCAAAGAGGATGCTAAAGTTAGACGCCTGCACCTGACATAGTGACGTAGACTTTCCAGGTCTGGTAGTTTTTCTTCTCTTTATACACAGGGAAAGTTGGCATTGAGTTGGGAGAGCCGAAATTTTACAAAAATGGGAATCAGGGAATTACGATCGTATTTTCGTAAAATTGAATAAAAATTGCGATAATTCTGCTGAATTCGGAATGATGGGCAGCCCAAACACTGTACACTTTTTAGGTGGCAGGCTGCTTCAGGAGTAACAGTCCATAACCAAAATTGCTCATCTAAAAATCGTGAAGTAAAAGTGCTCACCAACAGTCACACGTATGCCTCTAAAGGATCATACAACTCCGAAATAACTCCCATATCCATTCGTTTCATCCTTACTATTCACCATTTCAGTCCATCACTGGATGAACAGCACAGCCCCTAATATTCACATACTCCTCCCCTTTTGAGGATCAATCTGAAATTCACTTTCATCATACCTTTCATTAGGAAGCATGCTAGCAATGTCCTATCAGATCGCAAACTCTGAGCTTCCTTGTCGTATCTCCATTATTAATGACAACAGTGAAAACAGTTCATAACAAAGAATGAGCTTAAGAAGAAGTCACTTTTTCGCTTTTTAAAAAATGGAGATGCGACAAAAAAGCACTGAGGTCGCGAGACGGAGAACAAATTATTTTTTTTGTGGCAAGCCCAAAGCCAGGACTCTCAATAAAAAATACTACAAATTACAACAACAAAAATACCTCTGCCTTTACACCTCACCTATTTCTTCCCTCTCTTACCTCCACCTTTGGTGTGCTTGGTTTCTTTGTCGTTGTCGTTGATGTTGAGCTAGTGGTGGCTGCTGTGGTCTTAGTGGTGGTGGCCGGGGAGGTTTCATTAAGCAGCCTCACGGGCTTCACTCGAGTCCCGTGAAGTACCAGGGACCATGAAGCCAACTTACCTGACCACACAGAGACAAAACATCTTGTCTAAAGATTTTAAATAAAAGAGTCTACACGTATTAAAATGAATATTATGGTTTGGAAATGTAAAAATAAAATAGTCTAATAGTCTATATGTGGCTCCCCTTCCCTTCCCCCCAACCCCATTTTAAAAAAGTATAATCGTGTCAAACTATAAATGATATAAACTTGACAAAATAAAAATGGTCTATACATAGGTGTCACGACGTGATGGAATCTTTATTTTTTTTAATTATAGAAGAGGGTTTTACGGCGCTCGCAACGGCATAAGGTCATATGAGCGCCAAGGGGTGGGTGTCAACAAAGAAGTCTTTACAGGGAATCAGACTTACTCTGTTCACCTCTCTAGCTTCAACAGCACAAGGTCTGCTTCGACTATCAAGGCACCCCAGAAATAGCAGGTCACAAGAGAGTGACAAACATACAAAAGAAGTAGAGGAAAATGACAATATTGAGGATTAGGGAAGAAAAAGCAGCAGTTCCCTGTTGTAGATCAGGCAGTTATGAGCGTGACATGAATCAGCCCATTTACAATTCTACTGTGCTTGAACGAGAAATGTCCCACCTTTGGGAATGGCCTAAAGACACTACAGTCAGTGGCACTGCCCCGGGGGGTGGAATCAGGCGCTCCTCAGTTTTTGGGCATGTGGAGTTATTGGTATCATTTCAAAGCTTGTACATTTGTCTTGTTTTTGGTGGAAAAAAATATTCATATCATGAACAGTAGTCGAGATATTTGCGATTAAAGGAGGTGGGATCGCCTGGTCTCAGAGGTAAAATTAACAATAAAGTGGCCACCAAAGTTTGGCAAATTCCAAAGTTTGAAAGCCGTTAGACACTGCAAAATTACATTTCTGTGACTTAAATCAACATTTTTCAGTAAAATCCACACAGAAATATGTTTTTAAATGGACCTTAAAGGTGCTTAGTTAAAAAAAAAATTGTTATAAAAATTGAAAAACATGCTAGTTTCTTCGATTTCATTATTTTGACGAGCGCCTGATTTCACCATGATGCCTCACATATTAAAATAAAAACAGCTTAGAAATGCCAAATTCAGAGTTATACATCTTTAAAAGAAGTTACTTATGTGAGGCAAAACCGAAGAGAAAACAAAAAAAGTGGCAGACCATCAACATCTCTCAGTGCCAACACCATCTAAATCAGCTGCATGAAAATCCATGAAGTCAGCACAGCCAGCATAAACTTGAAAAATTATTGGAGGATGGAGAGATTCAAGAAAGAGGAGCACATCAACACAATACTTGTCATATATGAGAGCAAGGGAAACAAGTCAGACAAATATTTTCTAAAAATTTAAAACAGGTGTTTTTACACCCCCATTAACACAATTTAAATCATTCAAAAAGAGAACTTCCGACCCTGGCTGTCAGGGTGAACCCTGGCTGAGAGAGTTACAATATCCTAATAGAAAGACCAAGATACAGAATGAAAATTTTCTCCCCACTCGGGAATCTGACTCAGGTCTCCTGTGTGCATCAACCAAGCATCTTACCAATACACCACAGATGCTATTCCAGACAGAGAGAAATCAACAAAGGAGGGTGTGAAAAGAAGAAGGACCTGGTAGCAGCGTCCTTTAACCACCCGCAAATGAAAAAGGATAACCTAGTTGGTTTTATCTTTGAGCTCAGCTGCAAACATCACACACACAGATTCCAACAACTGAACAAGTGCGCCCATCAGTAACTGAGTTCTCTAATTATATTGATCTATTCTATTCCACCTTCGCATGCATCCAGTTGCTTTATCACTTTTTCAGTCCAACAACCCACTAGAAATTTCTTTATAACTCTGCTCCCATATTACATATTTGCATAAAATAAACATCATACTGCAAAGAAATTTAAGTGTAACGAAATAAACATAAAGATCAACTATAGATAAAGTGGATCATTTCTACCAAAGAAAATAAATGAGTGGTGGCGTGCATCAATTTTAGGTGGCGCACCATGTACTAAGAGTTAACAACTCACCTCCAGAAGAACGCCTGTTGTACATGTTGGCCTCCTCAATCTCCAATGTCCAGGTCCCCCGAGGATTCTCCCCCCAAAAATGTACTGACAACAATGGCCAGTTATCAAAGCCACCGGGAGCGACGTCATTACTTCTGGCCGGCAGGACCTTGGAGCGGGTTCCACTGGGTGAGGTCAAGTAGATCACAACACTGCCTCGCTGGCTGTGCGTAAGGCTGATCCGAGCCTGGACATGTTCTAGGTAGTTCACCTCAGTCGAGGTTCCCACACAGCCGTTGGTCAACACTTGGCTGGAGAACTTATTGCCACTGGCTAGTGGTCTGTGGGGCACAACAAGAATACATGCTCTGAATTAAAGAGATGCACTTATACCAGCTTAGTTAAGTCCAAAGACGAGATTACCAAAGGCAAAAACACAGGAAATTCCAAAAAAAATCTGTCAACAGGTGCAGAAGGTTGTTTCGAGACGTTGTTTAAAATAGCCCTAGAACTTTACATTTAATTTAAACAAAAGTTTTATGGAGAAAAAAAAAGAATAGCAATTTCTAAATCTTTAGTTTCAAGGTTTTTAAAACAAACAAAAAATTTTTCATAGATATTTTGTGCAAACTGTTGCAATTTTCCCTAAAGGTTGACAATTTTTGCACCAGAGGATGGACGGAAGTTTGCAACCCCCAACTGTAACATAACTAAATGAAAGAGAACTTCCCAATCTTTCTGAGGAAAATCAATGCAAATTAAATATTGTAGCAGCACAAAAAAAGAATGGAACTGTCCATTTTTCATTTCACTCTTCAGCAACTTCACAAAGAAAAATGTTTGCAGCTGTTCTCTCAAAATGTATCCCTCAGACCCCAGTAACCTTCGAAACCATACTTTTTTACAGCAATATCTAATTACACCAAAACAAAATGCAGAATGCTCAAAAGGATGAAGCATGTTTGTCAACAAACAAAATATGAGTTTCAAAATGTTTCACCTTCCAACTGGTTTTCTCAGAGCCACATTGTAAAAAATAAAATATTATTAGTGCCTTTCAACAGCTTGTGATACGAGAACATGACAAATCTACCTTTTCCTTTACATTAGATGCAGAACAAATAATTCTGATAGTGGACTACATGCTACTTCTTTTGCGAACAAGCTTGGTTGGTAAAATTTCCCAAAGGACACAAAAATTAATACTCCAGTGAAACCCTGGATTTTCATCAAGTTTGCACCTAACTGTACTATAAATACTGAGAAATAATTCAATAAATATGAAAGTGCTTCCACTTCCACAGTTTTTAAGTCTGAAAAAACTTTATCAGAAATGAAATATCAGTTTTACACATACACAAGCTATAGTTTCATTTTGGCAAGTATAGGACATTTTCTTAATTATAATCTACAAGTTTGAATCACTGCATCTCAGCAAATAGTGTGGAAATGAAGGACGTGTATAAGCTGCATATTCACTGTCCGCTTGTTCCAGTAGCAAATCCCATTGTTGCCCACTCCAGCATGCTAAAAGATAAACTTACACGTTCTGAACATCGGATGTGATCAGACACTCATGTTTCTCTGGCACCTGTCTCCACACCTTTGCCAGCTTCACCATCTCTGTAGCATCCATTAGTCCATAACCATAGCGAAGACTTACTGTAAAAAAAAAAAAGGGGGGGGGGGGATTAATTTTTTAATTGAAACCACAAGACTTCAAAAGGATTCACCTGACTGATGACAATGTCATTGATCTGTTTACGCAGCTAGCGAGCAAGACATTTACCATATTATTTCACCAAGGCTCAAATAAGGACATTTTCAGAATTGCCCTCTCTTGGGACTCCAGATGGCAAAATGGGTAGAGGAAGACCAAAAGAGATTTGGAGAAAAATGAGAGACTAAGATGAAAAACCAAGAATTTTAGAATGGGCTTAGAGTTCCCTTGAGAAAGTAGCAAATGACAATACCTGACAAAGACCAACACTACAGGTATTAAGCTAATACCTTAACATCAAGCACTATTTTTCGTTAGGATATAAAAATAAAGGCATTATATAAAAAGAAAATTTTTTTCTGCTCCAAAATATCCAAAAAAAGAAAGACACGGAAAAAAAGGGTTCCACTTTTAACGATCTCAACGAGGTACAAAGTGTAGAAATGTTTTATTTTGTTACTACAACCCCACCCCCCCACCCCCCTTTTCATTTCCCATTGAAAGTTGTGCATGCAAGGAGATGTCAACTTGACCCTGCCACCCACCGACCACAAACCTCAAGCTACGGCAGTGCATACACCTAAGGAGCTCAGGTGTAGAGGTCCTGCACTCTCAGGGAGGTCTGGGCCCAAATGGTTCGGTACAGAATTAAATTTGTGCACAACCTAAGAGAACACCTGCCGCCAATGAGCGCAAGAAGTAGTTAAAATGCTACATACCTTTTCTGCCAACTCCGTTGACGATCCACTGTCCATCTTCGATTGGATCTGACCGAGACGTCATGAGAGTTATGTACTGGACATCTCTCCAGGTTAGGTCTCGGCTAAAGAAAAGAGAAGAAATTTTTCATGTTCAAAAAGTCTTTCCAAAGAGTTTGATTAGCACACATGTCCATGTCACCCAACCACAGACAAACACGTTTACATATATATATATATATACACACACACACACACACAATCACACACACACACACACACACACACACCACACACACACACACACACACACACACCACACACACACACACACACACACACACACACACACACACACACACACACACAAACACACACACACACACACACACACACACACACACACACACACAAACCGCTTGCCCTTTTGCACAAGAGCGACAATCCCAGCAGACATAGACACAGACAAAAATTAAAACACATTAAGCACCCCCACCCCCTCCACCCTCTTCCCCGCACACATACACACAGCCTCACACAGAGAACACTCACTTTGCCTCCAGCACCAGAGCCACAATTCCCGCAGCCAAAGGAGCAGACGCTGACGTGCCCGTGTGGGTGGTGGTGCACCGTTGTCTCAGGTCTGTGGTTGCCTGTAGACACATTTGTTTGTGTCAAACAGAAGCTCTTTGTTTTAGAAAGGTTTTACGGCGCTCGCAACTACATAGGTTTTATGAGCGCCAAGGGGTAAATGTCAACAGAGATGTCTAAACGGGTAAATCGGGCTTACTCTGCTCACCTCTCTAGCCTCAACAGTACAAAGTCTGCTTCCACTATCAAGGCATCCCGGAAATAGCAGTTCACAAGAGAGTGACCAACATATAAGAGAAGTAGAGGCAAATGATGATAATAAGGATGCGGAAAGAAAAGCAACAGTTCCCCCTATGTTGTTACGGCACAGTATGAGCATGACATTGATAAATCAGCCCATTAACAATTGGTCACTTTAAAGGACAAGTGGGGCTAACCCAGATTTCGGGGGTTTCCAGAAATCTTGACCTACAACAAAAGTGGGCATTGCCCTACCTATAAGAGAAGTTTAGTTTCATTGGTGTGTATATTTGTTTGGTTATAGAGAAAATTCTCCCTGTCTTCTAAAGAAACTGAACAAGTGGCAAAAACTTTTCCTTTCATTTTCTCAAAACAGCATTTTTCGGGATAGCCCTCTTGTGCTTAAAAGCGACCAATTCAACTGTGCATAAGAACATGTTAATATCTCCCCTCACACAGACATAGTTACAGTGACTTCGTACAAAAGGAAAATAGGACATCAGAAGGTATTAATGATTTTACATCCTCACTGATACAGATTAGATGAGATCATTTATGGGATTGGCTACGGTGCCAATGGCCCTAGAACAAATATCAGTTAAATTTGTGAACTTCCAAAGCTCTGCACTAACTCTGTTCTGTCTCGTCAGATACCCTGGATGTAAAATTTACCAACAGAGTTGAAAGGGACCTAAAACTAATTCATTCTTATTATATTAATACATACCCCAAACCAGCATTTTTGGTGAGCTGGTTAGGCTCTTTACCACAGCATGTGTTTGATGGAAATGTTTTATTGAGTTACTCAGTCTGTTTTGTTTAGATGTTGTATTCTACTTGACGTGCATTGGACAAAACAGGAAATTATCTCAGTTGTAATGCTTTGGGAGGACGAGGCGTAAAAACACTTAAAAATTTTTTTTTAAACAATAACCATCCCAGAAATACCACTCAGACTATTTCTAAAACAATAATTCTGACAAATGAACTAATTAAAAGATTTCACTTTCTTCAACGAAAAAATAAACCCTTCCCAGTCAATATGCCTCCCCCGACTCACAATCTGCCTCTCGTTGTAGGCGCCGCTGCTGTAAGTGCTGGCCAGGGTGGAGGAGCACTCCTCCAGGTACCAGGGCTTGATGCCGTTCTCCGAGGTGCTGCTGATGGACAGGGTGAAGATGCTGTTTGCGTACCCGTCGCAGTTGCAAGAGTCGTGAGCGCTGCCGCCATTGCCAGAGGCCCAGACAAAGATAGAGCCTTTGCCGCCACGGCCCTTTATAAGAAATACAAATATTTAATAAAGGAAGCTTATAGAGAGTGCCATATTCTCTAATTCTACAGCTCTTTTGATCAAATATGTGTGTGTGTCTAAAAAAAGGGTACAAAAAGTCACAACAGAGAATTTTGAGCTACAGGCTGATAATGACAAAAACTCATTTTTTTGACCAAAATGTGTTTCCATAAAAAAATGATAGTTCCACAATTTTTTAACAATGTGTTAAAAAGGTTTTCATATAAATATCTTATTTTGAATAATTTTAAGACTAGGGTATTTTTTTAAGATATAATGACAACTGCTTTTAGAAGGTGTTAAAATCTATTCTTGAAGCATGTTTTCTCTTCCCCAATATGTTTGTTTTTTGTTTGTTTTTGTAAAGTGTTTTACGGCGTGCAACTGAGCGCGCAGGACAAATCTAATATTTCTAGTTTGTAGGAAATTTTGAATTTTGCCCGGGTGGCGGCCGAAGCCTACTCTTTATCAATTTTAGACCACCAAGGGATCTTTAACGTGCGCAACTTGCACACGGGCCCTCCGAGATTTTTCGCCCTTATCCGAGAAGGCTAGGTGTAGATCTTTCCTACCAGAAGACCAGGGGTGTGGCAGAAAGACAGCAGTAAGGAGGAGCCAAGGAGTAACAGTAGAAAGGCTGCAGAAAGAGTCAGGAGCCCAGAGGAGGGGGTAAAGGAGTTGAGGGGGTGGGTGCAGAAAGTGGAAATGAAAGCAGACAACAGAACATTGCTAGAGAACAGGAAAGGAGGTGAAAGGAGACAATTTTAGAGAAGAAAATTTTTTGGTCGCTACCCGGATTCGAACCCGGGACCTTTGAATGAGAGGCCAACACCTTAACCTCTAGGCCACGAGAGGCCCCCCCCCCCCCCAATATGTTTTACCATTAGATTCTAATCATGATATTGATGTCAACTAAATGCCAAATTGAAAATGAATTTTCAACTTTAAAAAATACATTAGAAACAATTGAATCGTTGTTTTTTTTCAAGTTTGTAAGTATCCTAATTTTCTCCAAATTAGATCTTTATACCCTACCTCACAAAATGTGCAATATCTCAAAAACTACTTGAGATACCTCAAAAATTAAAAAAACCACTGTGTTCTGCATTGAATATTCTATAGGTGCAACCCTTTAACTCAAAATGGTCAAAATCCGAATTTTTGTACCTTTCTTTAGGCACAAGCACAAATGTTTGTTCACACACTGAGCTTTTCTCTTCCCAATAGCTCTTTACTCTTAGTAGTCTTAACTCTTTAAGCCCTGAGTTTTTTCCACCCATTTCCCAGAGGTTTTTTTTACGGTCACCTAAACCTAGTGCACTACATCTCATTATAACCCCAAAAGCTGGCCTCCTACTTCGGCCTCCTACTTCTAAATAGCGGAAACAAAGGCTTAGTCATTACTAAAAAACTTGGTTCGGGAATAGTTCCAAAAAACAAGCAAAAACTAGCACTAGATAAAACGGAACAGTTGTCACTAGTACTGGGCACTCCCAGCGTCTGATGGGGAACAGGGTTAGTACCGCCGAATGCTCCCCTCCCAGCTTCCGATGGGGTTCAAAGAGTTAAAGCAAAAGAACATTATAGGCTTTGCCATCACTGCACTTTATATAAAACAATTGGAATTAAGAGCAAAGAAACTCTCAAGCAAACAAAATGACTAGGGAGTCATTATGTGTACACCATTCTCCATAGCTCTTTTTGGTCAAACTTTGAATTTTTTCTTTTCAATCAAAGTCTTTACTCTCAAGAGAAAAGAAGCTTTGAGAGCATTTGCCTTCATGTTTCTTTACAAAAGAAGTAAGTAAAAGTGGTTAGTAATTCAGTGTGCAACATTCTCAACCACTCTTTCTGGTCATACAATTACATCTTTTCCCTCTGTTACTCTTAGAAGTCACACGACCAATTTCTCAAAAGAGGACTTATTGTACAATAGCAATCTTTATTTTGCAATAACAACTGTAACTCTTGGAAATTCTGTAACATGACAATCGAATGCCGAATTACTCTGCAACTGAAATCTCAATGCTCAGAGGTTCTACAAAGAATTTCTCAACAACTGAGTTATTACAAATAACAAATATTTTACCCTTTAAGACTCCATATGGCATTTTTCAATGGCTGATTTACTGAGAAATAGCCATCTCAATGCTTAAAAAGTCCTATGATCCATTTCTCAACTGCTGACTACACCAACTATTATTCCCCCATTTTGTTTTCACACTGTGATCCCTTAGAGTCTGAAATGGTCTTACAAAATAAGCAAAAACTTCTTGCGGGTGAGATGGATATATGTTTGAGAGCCGCTGGCAGAGACGAATCCAAAAGAATTTTGTGTATCATGAAAGAAACAGGCAGATAAAAAACTGAATGAAGGGGTAATAGCCATAAAACATTTCTTACAAACAAAGATAGAGACAGTTGGGTTTTTTAATAACGATCGAAAAAAAAGTAAACCCCATAGAGAATTCTCTCATAAAGCCCACTATTCAATTCAGTACCGACTTTATAATCTATAATGAATCTAAAAGGAAATCAGACCACTGGAAAGCTCTTTCTACAAAAGTTTTGAAAGAAAATTAACAACATATGCTTTGCTAGGCCTTACATTTTCAATGCCTTTGATAAAGGCTTCCTTGGCCAACTTTCCTGGTCCATCCACCACTTTCCCATCATCATCAGGGCCCCAACTAGCTGAATAAATGTCCACATGGCTGCGATTGAAGCTCAGGGAAGCAGCCTCAACAGCATCATACACTTCACCGTCAAGCATACGAATACCTGGGAGAAACGAACCACAGAAATTCAAGCATACATACTCAGGGTTAAAGACATCACTTGAATCATTGCAGGGAAGAAAAACCCACTAAGACAATTAATTATGTATGTGAGAAGTTTCTATCAGCACAGAAATTGTACAAATACACATGTGGAGAGAAGCTGATTTTTTTGGGAGAATGAATACTTTATGTAGAGATGAAGTTGGTTTGGTTTTTTTGGTGCCATAGCCTGACTCCTGTGCAGATCTTGTCTTTCAGTTTACAGCACTGGTTGACTCACTCCATGCCATCTGGACTTTCACACTTTTGCTGTATTACTTTGAAACATATTCTTGTATTTTGGGAGGATGGGAAAAATTGCATCTATACTTTGTATCTATAGCCATTAGTGGACCAACTCATAAAACACATTTATCAGAATAAGAAAAATAATAAGACAAGAGGAAACTATTTTTTAAAATGTGAAAATGGACCGGATTAAGGTAACCCATAACATAAGCAACTATTAACGCAACAGTCCAAACTTCATTCATTCATGAATAATCAACATAGCTCTGGTACCTCAGATGATCTATATGTAGAGGGTTATCATGTAAGGGGTGATTTAAAGACTCCTTGGTGTTCCCTTGATACTGTACTAAAAAATATATATCATGCAACACCACAGAGAAATTATGCTGTATATTTTCTTTTTAAATCTTAAAGAAAGTGTAAGTTTGTAGACCTATCTAGGAGTAAAAAAAGTGGGCCAACATGTACTCATTTCTTTTGAGTGCGGAAAACCATATGCATACAATAACAGTACTGTTGTTAAGAGCAGGAAAAAAGTGATAGAGGGAAAGAAAAGAAGTAAGACAAACAAATGGCACCCTCCAAACACCCACTCGCTCATCTGCATTTAGTCTTAGCTTTAGTAAGTTTTACAGCACTTGCAACACATTAAGGTCATATAAATGTCGATGATTAGAGGTGTTACAAAAAAGTAACAAACACAAAAAAGGAGGAGGGGAGATAAGGACCACAGATGTTTGATAGGAAAGAAGGAGCAGACCACACAAGAGCACCTGCCAACCACCCACCGCTCACCTCCAATCCTGGAATCGGGGGCAATCCCGATGGTGCAGGCTGTGTTGTTCGCCTCAGCAGACACCTCCCCAGCACACCTGGTGCCATGCCTGTAACAGTCACACACAGATGTTGCCGCCGGTCAGTGGGGATCAATAACAATACACTTCCCCAAAATTACAAAGTTCTATCTGCTGTGTGCCTAGTTTTGAGAAATTTGACACCAAAGATTAACAACTCTGAATATTCTTATGATTTTGATAGAGCAGGTAGAACACTTGGCTTTTTTAAATCTCGTGGTCTTAGTAACTAAAAACGGCCAAAAATGTCAGATAGAACTTTGTAATTCTATGGTAGCGAATAGGTAGCTTCTGTATAGCACAAATCCCCGCTCAACATCAAGCTCTATGCACTTTACAATCTATATTTCCCTCTCACATTCCAAAACAACTCTTGATCATTTGTTTGTTTCATTAGAGAAAAGAGAAGCCCATCGACACAATGATGGTCGTTTAGTATTGGGAAAAGTAAGACCGACAGACAGAAACAACAGGGAGAAAGTAAAGTAGTAGGACCCACCAGTGGCACTCTCCAACCACCCGCCTTCATTAATCTGAAGTTAGAACAGTTCTCTCACATATAAACACACTCTTATCCGTTGTGCAAGTCTTTTTTCTTTTGCTCCTCCCTTTCTCTTTTTAAAAAAACAATTTTGGTCCCATCTCTTCTATTTCTGTGTTCAATTAATTTTTTTAATTAAAACTATTTTTTCAATATTTTTCTTTTATGGGTGTGTTTCTTGTAGCTATACATGCTTAGGTATTGCAATTTCCAGTGAGATTCAAAGCACATTTTGAAGAAGAGTTATGCGTTAAACATTTACAGTAATATACATGTATTTCCTCTTTGAGGTCGTAATGGCATTGCTCTGGAGGGAAATGTTTACGTCTATTTGGGCATAGTTTTTTTACACAATATATGGGAAAAACTCAAAATCCACCCAACCCACTCCAGCCCAGTCCTGTACTCTGTATCATATTACCAATCAAACTGGAAACCAATTGCTCCATAGAAACTGACTACACTGTAGAAATAGAACCAGTTTACAATAATTTCTTGCACAAATTTCGCAGTCGATTTACAAAACAGGATTTACCATGAATAATTTCATGGGTTCGCCTCACCACAGAAACTGATGACATGAAAGCAGTTTTAAGCAACCAGCTTAGAAAGAAACAGCTGTTCCATAGCATGGCCAACAGAAAAACACAAGACTTAAATCACCGGAAAAGTTCATAAACTTAAATTAAGCAACCTCACTATTCTAAGAACACATGGCAAGACCTAGAATCAAAAATCATTCACAAAAGCAGACTACTAGCATAGGGTTTTGTACTAATTGTCAAGTACTTTGATATATAACAGGTAATAAGTAATTATATGCATTTATATACTTTCAATACTTTCAGTACTGTAGTGTTATCTACGAGATGGGACCTCTGAGTTCAAACACCAATCAGTTCCAACAAAGTATCCTTAAAAACTCCCCCAAACAACCCAGGTTCAAAAACGTCCATCGAGGATTCAAACCAGGCTTCTTCTCACCATAGTCCAGCATGAAACCAACAGAATTAACGATGCACCCAAATGCTTGATTTGGTAAAAGCAAAATAAGTACTGATGACAATAAATACCTGTTTTCATTAGAAGCATCATATCTCGGCATAGGGTCATTATCATGGTCATTCAAATCATAACTTGCGTATGGATCCTGCCAAAAACAAAAATCATGACTGATAATACAACTTCAAGAAAGTAACAGCTGGACAGTAAACTGTTGGTGTGTGTGCATGTGTGTGTGTGTGTGTGTGTGTGTGTGTGTGTGTGTGTGAGTGTGTGTGTGTGTGTGGGTGTGTGTGTGTGTGTGTGTGTATGTGTGTGTGTGTGTGTGTGTGTGTGTGTGTGTGTGTGTGTGTGTGTGTGTGTGTGTGTGTGTGCGCATGTGTGTGTGTGAGTGTTCCTTCTTTTTTTTTTTTTTATTCCCTTTCTGGTCGATTTTCTGACTTAACAAAAATAGACAACATCCAAAAAACTGGCAAAATAAAGAAATACTGCAACTGAACTCAGGTGTTAAAAAATATTTTGATTGAAAAAGAAAGAAGTTTGAATGGCAGATGATCTTCGAATGCATGTCTTATTTCTTCAAAACTGCATAAGAAACGTAAAATACATGTATAATAATAATAATGCAGATATTTTCTATAGCACCTGTACAATACAGCTCTAGGCGCTTTACTATACCTATATCTCAACACAATACACAAATGAATAAACATGCAAACATACGCTCTTGAGACCAACAATAAAACATGAGCACAGAGTCATACTTTCGCAGCCCAATGAATAACGAAATGCACATCACATTATGAACATAAGAGCACTACGAACAAGACGGACAAACTAACAAAATGGCATCTCATAAAGTATTATTTCAAATTAATTTCAAACTGTCTCGGACTTTGTACCCATCAAATGTTGTTGGAGAGAGCTCCAGATAGATAGGGCAAGATAAGAAAAAGACCTAGCAGTGAGACATTGACCTCTCTTCCTAGATGTTCTCCTAAGAGACTGATCTCCCAATCTTAGACATCTTGCTGGTACGTGTAAAAGCTAAAACATGTCGCACACGAAAAAAATGCAGAAGCAGTGTCCTTTTTTTGTAAGAGTTTTAGGGCACTTGCAACACAATAAGGCCATATTACAAGTGCCGAAGATTAGAGGTGTTACAAGAGAGTAACAAGACAGGCAGTGTCTGAAAAGACAAAAAAGACAGAAAAGACGAACACAAACACAATAGTTGCCATTTAGTGATAAGAAAAAAGTAAGATTGATGGACAGAAATAACAGAGGTAGAATCAAGGAGGACACGCCCTCCAAACACCTGCTCATTTATATCTTTTCTCTTATAGTGAATAAAAAGCTGAATCCCACTTGACACTACAAGAGAAGCTGTATGGGCCGACAGATGAACTGAGCAGGACGGCCCAATTTATAACAGGTACCAGACTTCAAGTGTGATGCGATCAAGAAGAAGAAGAAAAAGAGAAGCTGAAGAAAAATGAACGATGACAGTGTGTGTAAAATAATCTTGAAAAAGAAAGTACAATCAAACATGCAGTAATGACCACCTGTATAAGATAATCACCTGTGCAAAAGGCCATTTCCCATTTCCTCCCTTGAGTTCTGTCTACATTATAATAATGACACCGTGTAATGTAAGACGGTCACCCGTCTAAAGTAACCAGTTTTTTCTCCTCCACAACCAGTTACCATCTTAAACAGTTTCGACAGTACATGTAACACAAAACAAATCTACAAACATCATATCTTTAGTTTTAGTAAGAGTTTTACGGCACTCGTAACACAATAAAGTCATATAAGCGCCAAAGATTAAAAGTGTTACAAGAGAGAGTAACAAACAGAAAAACGAAGGAGGGGAGATAAAGACGATAGATGTTTAAGAGGAAAGAAGAAGCAAACCACACCAGAGCACCCGCCAACCACCCACAAACATCATATCTAACCAGCCTTTCACTTGATTCATTATCCACAACGCAGAAACATAAACAATTCAATGACGTCTGAAAATTATTTAAAACTAATAATAGCCCGTAGCTTATTGGTGTGGACATGCACGAGAAAAGGATATCATCACGCTATCCATCCACTCAGCAGACAAAACGTCAAATAAAACATTTCTTCATGAGCCAGCAATAACAGCCGCAAATCAATAACACAGATGTTAACTCACATTCCTCAACAAAACAATAATTCGAACAAATAAAGCGTTACTTCTACCAGCAATAACAGTGGCAAATCAATCAATGTCACAGATGTCAAACACATATATCTCCAACAGTGGCCAGCCCCCC